CCCGAATTTATACTCCTCTTGGCCAACAAAATATGTCAGATTTTTTCATATTTTTTTAAAGTCATCTAGAGGACGCTATTTTGATTTTTGTACAAAATTTGTGTTTTTTATATAAAAAAATTTATTTTTTATTTTTAAATGTTCAATTTTTTCAAAACTATGCGCATTACTGGTAGAGGTTACCAAATTAGTAAAAAAAATTGTTCCAAGTTAAAAAAAAATTTTAAAGATAATTTTTATGACCTTGAATGAAAAAAACGGTCTCCTTCATTTATCGAGCCCTTTCTGCGAAATTTTATTTTTTCTTTAAAATCGTGTAATTCATCGCTTTAAATTATTTTAATGCAAATAATTATCATAGAAATAAAAGGAATATATATATATATATATATGAGTCGCCGGAAAGTAAAACCACACATAAAATTCTGACGGCCATGTTAATTCAATGGGAGTCAGAATTTTATGTGTGGTTTTACTTTCCGGCGACTCATATATATATGGGTCAGAATTTCTCAAAGGGATCACCTAAAATTCAGAAATTTTTTTTTAATCAAGAATCATTTCTTTTGACTCCTTACATGGTAAAAATAAGTCCCTGAAATTTTTAGGTCAAAAAAAAATTTTTTGTTAAAGTTATAAACAATTGAAATTTTTTGCAGTGTTATTTTAAAAAAAAATTTTCTCTAGTTCCTGTTCACCAATTAAAATAAAATCGGACAAGTGCGAGTTACACTCGCACTGAAATCGAGGGTTCCGTACTCGAAGCGAACTTATTTGGTATAAAAACAAATGTTTAAAAAATATGTGTTGTATGACAACTAATATAAGTGATACGAAGAGGAACAATTTTCTTGAATTTTACAAAATTGTTCCTTTTTGTATCACTTATATTAGTTGTCATACAACACATATTTTTTAAACATTTGTTTTTATACCAAATAAGTTCGCTTCGAGTACGGAACCCTCGATTTCAGTGCGAGTGTAACTCGCACTTGTCCGATTTTATTTGTTTTAGAGTTGTAACGACTGAAGAAATAAACTCAATCATGTTTATTAAATTATTTCTATAATCTACACATAAAAATACGTAAAAATAGTAAATTTGAAGCCCTTTAGAAAAAATTTTTTCCTTTATTGGGAGAAAATTCATGATTTTTTCTAAAATTATCAGTTTTTTCTTGACAGCCCCAGAAAAATCAACTCCAATCATCCTCGCTATATTTTTTTTGTAATCTACACGTAAAAATACGTAAAAATATATAAATTTGAATCACTTTAGATCAACTTTTTTGCGGAAAAATACATTTTTTTCTTAAATTTATCATTTTTCTTCAAAAATTCGATAAAAATTGATCATCAACTCCAATCGTGCTTACATTTTATCCCTGTATTTTTCACGCAAAAATACAGTTTTACAGCAAATATGAACAATTTGGGTTGAATATTGTGTGCGCTAGGGAGAATAAATCATTTTTTTCGAAATTTTTGATTTTTCCTTGACAACGCTATGTAAATTGATCCGAATCAAGTTCGCTATATTTTTCCTGTAATTTTCACGTAAAAATACGTAAGTGTACCAAATTTGAGCTCTTTATGTTAAAAGATGTGGCTGCTAGGGGGGGGGGTACATAGTCATTTTTAGGTATTTTTCGTAAAAATTCATGGTTTTTTCTTGACAACGCTATGATAATCAACTCCAATCATGCTCGCTATATTTTTTTGTAATCTACACGTAAAAATACGTTAAAATATATCAATTTAATTTCCTTTAAATAAAATTTTGTTCGTTTTTGGTAGAAAAATACATTTTTTTCCTAAAATTGTCATTTTTTCTTGAAAAACTTGATAAAAAGTTAATCATCAACTCTAATCGTGACCGATTTTTTCCCCTGTATTTTTCCCGTAAAAATACATTTGTATACTAAATATGAACTGTCTGGGTTGAATATTGTGTGCGCTAGGGAGAATAAATAATTTTTTTCGAAATTTTTGATTTTTCCTTGACAACGCTATGTAAATTAATCCGAATCAAGTTCGCTATATTTTTCCTGTAATTTTCACGTAAAAATACGTAAGTGTACCAAATTTGAGCTCTTTATATCAAAAGATGTGGCCGCTAGGGGGGGGGTACATAGTCATTTTTAGGCATTTTTCGTAAAAATTCATGGTTTTTCCTTGACAACGCTATGATAATCAACTCCAATCATGCTCGCTATATTTTTCCTGTAATCTACACGCGAAAATACATATGTGTACTAATTTTCAGCCCTCCAAATAAATTTGTGTGGCCGCTAGGGGGGGGGGGTACACGATTTCAAAAAAACCGATATTAATAGGGTTCCGAACCGAGTACGGAACCCTAAAAAAGGGTTTTTCTCGTCTTAAAATGTAGTTTCTAAATATAATTTTTATTTTGAAAAAATTTCATATTTAATAGATTTTTATATTATTTATTTATAAAATGTTATTAAGAAATAGTGTTCTTGACGTCCTATAGAAAATTAAATTTTTTTTTGAATTCCCCACACAATTTTGTGTAAGAAATCGTTGAGAAAAAAAATGAGACTTAATTAGGAAAAAAGTTATTTATTAATAATTGCCGCTGTGCGATGTGCAACTCTGGTCGCGCGTGCACGTCCCTATTGCACTACCGCTACGCTACGTATCTACACAGTTTAAATCATTAGGTAGTTCAGTCAACATGAATAATAAAAAAGCAAAGTTTTTAATTAGTTAACAAAATTAATATTTTTTTTAATAATCTTGAACTATTTATAATTATATATAATAATATTATATATATATGAGGCATTTCATATCAGAATACGGGGTCAGGTCTCAGATTTTCTCAAAATTCGGTAAATTGTAGTGATAGTGGTGCTAAATAAGTGTACAAATTTTGAATTTGAAATTTTTAATATTTTTCGACATATTTACAGTAACAAATTTGAGCAATATTTTTTTGTTTTATTTATAACTTTTATCCTATTAAAAATAGAGAAAAATGTTGTAAATGTTTTTTACGCAGAAGACCTTAAACTTTTAGAAAAAAATTAATTTTTTTAAATATTAATTTTTAAACAATTTGTTTAAAAAATAAAATTTGTTTATAACTTTTAAACATGTTCTCCCTCATTTAAAAGCGCGAAAAAAATCATGAATATTGTTTAAGTCATAATAAATCGATGGTTAAATTTTTGAGATGGCATTATTTTTTGTTTTCGAGAAATTAATTAATTAACTAACAAAAGTTAATAAAAAATGAAATATTTTATGAACAAATAAAATTTGTGACAATTTTCACTATTATTTTCGTAATCAGGGAACCAAAATACGTTAGTATACCAAGTTTCATGAAAATCGGAGGTAAGATGCTTTTGGAACTTCACCCATTAGTTCATTTTATCAACTGCATTTTTTCTTCTTTCAACTAATTTGTGAAAATACTCAATACGATTTTTAAATTTTTTTGAATGACATGGTAGTTAAAAAGTAGTCAAATGTACTAGCTGTTTTGAGTCCAAGAGATAAACGGAGAGCGTAGCGTGACGAGATACTGCACCGAAGCGTGCACTAAAGTTGCTTCTCCAAAGGGACGTGGAGGGAACGTTCCGAGCTGACATCATAGTGATATGCAAATGGGTGATGTCCCACAGAACATTCCGTCCACGTCCCATAGGAGAAGCAACTTAATACCGGACGGCGAATCTGCTGAATTTTTTTCCCTTTGTAAAGTCAACTCTTCCTCTGGCTCTTTTCCAAAGTAAAAGAAACACACGTGACTTCGTGTCGTTTCCATGTTGTATTTGTCTGATGCCACAGCTGCCGTTTACAAATTTATCAACTCGCAAGGAACTTTGTGTTATTTTGCTTCCTCGTGGAGGAAGCTTTGTAGTCCTTTCGTTTATAAAATTTTTAAAAATAGTGAAAACAAATTTTCCTCTATATAGAAACATGTTATATGAGATCCTGATCAATTGTCCAGATGTATGTGTGTGGATCTTTTTTGTGAACACGACATCTTTAACAGGTTTTAATGGATTTGGGTAAAATTTGGCAGGCTTATTTATCACATTAATCTCTCAAAAATGACGAGAGGATTTTTAAAAATACTCCCAAAAAATTTTATCGTCTTTTTTCCAAAATTTTTTTTTAATTGAAAAAATTTTTAAATAGAAAATTTAAGGTGATATATAATAAAATCGTCTTCTTTACGTCAATACGAATCGATTGGTATACATAAAGTATAGATTTGATTTTTTAAAGATTTAATGAAAGTTAAAAAATCAAAAATTCCCATTTCAGCTAAAAAATTATTTGTCTATTTAAATTCAAGTTTATATATGAAGTAATTTTATTCCTTGCATTGAAACGAACCAATTGGTTTATAAATTATAGATTTGATTTCAATTTTAAGAATTAATGAAAATTGAAAAATCAAAATTTCATATTTTAGCTAAAAAAATTTGTGTTTAATTAAATTAAAGTTAATACATAAAATAATTGTATTCCTTGCATTGAAACGAATCGATTCGCATAAATAAAGTATATGTTACAACCAAAATTAATTAAAATCTTAATTTTTAATTTTTCAAAAAATTTAAAACAGTTTTCAACTCGAAATGTTTTAAATCAATCAATTGAATTGAAGAAATCAATTGCTTCCTCCACGAGGGAGCAAATTTTTTGCTTCACACAATGAGGAAGCAAAATATTTATGAAATAAACATAAAAACCCCCTTCTTGTTTTACTTTGCACTTCGTCATTGTAGGACTTTTATCATTTTTAAACAATCTAGTTTTGTAATAAATAATTAAAATTAATACTCAAATAAGACCATTTTTAGTCCCTGACCCTGTCATGGCCGCACCACAAACATAATTAGTTATCTGACAGATTAAAAAAAGTTGAATCGACTGTTCAAGCTTTTTGGAGAGACTTACATGTACCACAAAATTCGACATTGCACCTTTTAAATAAATATTTAAATACAACTCACCATTTCCTGAATTGTGAATAGCTTTGATAGCCTTCTTCAGTTTATTCAATCCATCTCTGTCGAAGTCCAAAGACTAAAAAAACATATAAATCGTTTTAAAATTAAAAACTTACAATTAGAGGCACGACATTTATGCAAGTCACATAATCGCATAATGTTCTGAAACTTAGCATAACTTCGGTATTTTGTGAGTTTTTAAGAATGCAAGCACAATTCATGTGATTTTTAAACGCATCCAAACGCATAATTATCATAGAGATATTATAAATAGAGTGGGGAAGGTATAGAAGCGACCGTAAGTGACGATGAGACGCCGCAAGAGAGAGAAAAGAAACCGAAACCGTAGTTCTGTCCTTTACTGAACCGCGTCAATATGCAAGCACGAGCGAATGACATAAGCATGTGGGAAAAGGACAGATATACGGATTGAATTGAAGAAATTAATTGCTTCCTCCACGAGGAAGCAAATTTTTTGCTTCACACAATGAGGAAGCAAAATATTTATGAAATAAACATAAAAACCCCCTTCTTGTTTTACTTTGCACTTCGTCATTGTAGGACTTTTATCATTTTTAAACAATAAATTCGATTCGATTCTCTTTCTATTATGCGGATGCTTAAAGGGGGAAACTCGTGTAAATGCACGTTTTTTCAAGATTTAAAAAACAGGAGTACAGTTTATTGAATTGAAATAAAGCATACCTTAAAGTGTACAATATAAGCTGTGTATAGTTATTTTTTAAATTAAGAAATATTTCAAAATGGCAGCGTTACAGGCGTTTAAAGTTAAATCTTTGGTTCTTCGCCGTGCAGCTACAGGTCTCAAATATCAACCAAAATAAAAAAATAAATTTTTTATTATTAAAATACACAAATAGGAAGAAAGGAAAATTAAAAAAAATTTTGTTTGAAAATTTAGGACCATTTTGAAAAAAATAAATTTTTTTTATAAAAAATCTCCAAAAAAAATTTTTTTAAAAGAGCAGCTCGTCATGCAATAGCCAGTAAGTTAAAGAAGATTTCTGGTAAGTTTCATTAAAATCGTTTTAAAATTGTCTCAGCTGCATTGCACGGCGCGTGAAAAAACACGTTTCGGGAAAAACGCGTTGAAAGTTTTCGATATAAAAAAGTAGTGTTTTAACTATTGCCTTGAAGACGTTATGTATTCGAAAATAACAAATTGCACTAAAACCTAGATTTACTATCACTTGTTATGGTGCTTGCTAAGGACAATTAATAAAATTATATTGGAATGAAACCGAAAGAATAGAGGGACCTCGTGCTCATAATTAACTGCCTTTGGTAGCATCTGAAGTGCTAAACTTATGTTTACTATAGACATTCATACATCTAATTATAGATTAGTAATGTAGGATCATATTCCACAGATAGTAAACTAATTTTTAAAGCAAAAAAAATTTGTAAAAAATTTTTTTTTACGAGTTTCCCCCCTTGATGACTGACCTTCACCACTCTATTTATAATATCTATATGATTATTATACTTTCAGTGCATAATTTTTTTCATTGCATAATTTAGCACTATTTGCATAATCATTGCATAAGGTAATTCTCACAGTCGTGGTGGCCGCCATATACTGTTTTTAGTTAATATTAATTGAGTTTCTGTTGTTAGACGAAGAAAAATGTAAACATTCGTTTCCTTATCCTATCTTAAAAACGAGAAGTGTAATTGACTAACTTCAAGTGTAGAAACCTTTCCTTATTGGTTTAAATCAAGGTCATGAAATCTGATTTGCTTAAAATTAAATTCATGAAATCTGATTGGCTAGAAGTGACGATAGGTAAACTGCAGCTAACTTTAAGTGTAGATACCTTTCCTTATTGATTGATTTCATATTTTCATTAAATTCGATTGGTTAATATATATTTTTCATGATGGTTGGATAGTTAACCTACATAGATATTTTCTTGAAGAGGCATATTTACAATTAGTGATTTTACGCCTTTGTGACAATTTTTGATCATACATATTTGGAAGATCATGAAAAAATAATATTTATACAGTTTTGTAACAGTAAAGAAAGAAATAGTGAATTGTTATACAATATTTATAAAATTCGTTTTCTTTGAAAAAGTAGTAAAATAGTGTAACGATAAAGTATCGTAGTATAGTGGCGCGGCGAAAAGAGAGAAAGTAGACAGCATAAGTAGTAGTATCACTCTCTTCCCCCACCACACGCTGTCACCTAGCTGCTAGTGATATTCCTTTCGTCTCGCACCTTTTCCTCAGTCTTCTTGTGACTCGTCTAGAGGTGCTTCTATGACGATTGGAAGCGACTCACTCCTGGCTACCTGGTGCTCAGTAGAGGTGCGTCTCTCTGAACACCGGAGCCATCCTTACTTCCTAGAAGCAGCTGTACTTGTTCCTGTAGGCGCTTCTGCGGAACAGTAACACCCTTCGCCTTCCTTCTTCCTGGTGAACCGGACTTTCTATGGGCGCTTCCGTGGAAGACTGGTCAACCAGGTTACACACTCACTTCCACCAGGACCGTCCTTGTCGAGTAGAGTCGCTCCTCTCTTGACAAAAATGATGCACTAGGTCGATTCCCCATCTCGAGGCGCTTCTCGGGTGGAGGAGACACCTAGTGAATATTACTTCGCACTAGCTTCGCGTCGGGCATGAATATTGGAACCGAATCCAATATCTAGCTTCTTCCCGATTACGAATAATAATCGACATAGCGTGCACGACCCTAGTATCCGTCCATACCGTCGTCTAGGGGGTAAATTCTAGAAAGTACCCCACGCGAAAGTAATATGCGTCGTCCTAATCAACATCTTCGCAAACGTGGTAAATATGTTTAAATCCGCTTTATTCTGGAATAATGACAAGCGCGATCGGAGCTCAGCGAATGCTCCTCTAGAATAGCTAGTTCTTTCATCGTTATATTTTCTAAAGATTAGTATTTTATTTGCTTTGTATATATTCTTTCGTTCTTATATTATTTTATGTAATAATTCATTTTTGTATATTTTATTATTCTTTTATTTAAACAATATATTCTCTTTCGAAGGTTTAAATAAAGACTCGTCAATGACTACACCTCTCCTCTACATCATAGTAAGAAATAGTTCCGAAATTAATCGAAACATAGATGGCGCTTCACGCCATCTACCGAGATTTAAATTTTTAAAGTAATTTTTTGAAGTGTTTGTAATTGTTGTGTTGTGTTAAAACATTTTTAAATAATAAACAGAGCTGTTTTATATCAAATAAAAAGATATTTCAAATCTAAGAATTTGATACGTGGAATAGAAATACACAGATATCACACACCCTGCTAAAAATAAAATCACAAAACGTCAAAAAATTAGTCAGGATCTCTGACGTTTTGAGACTGTTTTTGTTACGATTGCAGTCACAGAACACCACAATAAGTGAGGTTTAGTCAAAGAATCGTCAATAGTAGTCAGATTTTTTATGAGGGTCGGAGACCCTTTTTTTTGCCATACCATAAATCATTAAACCCTGTGACTATTTGTGATGTTAAATGACATTTCTTTCTATAAAATAGTTTTGAAGATTCCTGACTTACTTCTCATGAATTCTGACTACAAATATTTAAAAATTAAAAAAAATCAATATTTTATCATTAAAAAAATAAATTATCGTACAACATTTTTTTATCTTTACGTTACACATTCTTAATTATTATTTTTACAATTTATTATATTTATTTACTCCTATCGAAGAAAATCTCGCAAACGCAGGGAATCGAACTCACAACCTAACGAACGCAAACCGAATACCTAACCCTTGAGCTAAACTAACCTAACTGAGATCTTAAAAATAGAATACGGTTTTATGAAAATAGAAGATCTTATTACTTTTTTTCAATTTTATCAACATATTTTGTTGATAATTATTATTATTATTTTAAAAAAATTTTATAATTTTTAAAAATTAACAGTAAAGTTAAAATAGGTATACTGTTATATTGATCAAAAAACATTTGTAGTCCAATTATCATATATTAATGTATTCAATTAATAAAATTTGCTTCAGCAAATATTTAATTAAACAAAAAATTCGTATGTAAATATTATTTGAATTCGAACTTAAAAGAATATGTGTAATATACAAATAAAATAGTCTAGAATAATAAGATACTGTCGGATTGTCTCAAGTAAACTCTGAGCGAATTTTATCAGGTTTTTCGCTCACGTTTTAGCACATTCATTACTATTATAATTAATTATAATGATACGAATTAATTAATATGCATATATTAATTACTATATTATTAAAATTCAATTTAACATAATTCTTCCACAAATCAACTAAATAATTACTAATTTTAATTTCTCTTTTTAGCATACTGCACTATAATTAGATGTAATATTTAGTTCAAATCAAATTTACATTTAGTGAAAACTGGATCAAATTCGCTCAGAGATTGATTGAGCGATCAATTCATATATTCTATTTTACAAGAGACCGGAATGTTTTTGCTCATCTAGTTGTAAAAAAATAAACTTTTATGTGAAATAGCCAGCGATTTCTAATTTTTTTCAAATATATATATATATATAGAGTTAACACAATGGTAAGAATAGGTTTTCAACATATGTTGCTTTCTTATAACTAAATGTAAGGAAACTAGCTTACTGTAAAATAATAAATACAAATTTGAAGTAGGGACTTTAAAAGTATAGTCGTAGTCATTGACGCCTTCCCTTTTCTGTCCTTGTCTTACAAACGTGATTCCATATATATTATATGTACGTAAGAAAAGGACAAAAAGAAAAGTATAGGCCAGAAGGATCTTTTATGGTTTTATGGCTTTTCATTGCAAAATTAAAAATTGTTGCATTTGAAAAAAATGATTTTTAAATATTATATTCGTAATGTACATGTTAATACAATTACAACGATATAAAATTTTTTGCAAATATTTTTAAATTATTGAGAATTAATTTTAATTAATGGAGTATTTATTGTATAATCATTATGTAATTTTAGAGTTTTTACATAATGTTTTATATCATTGGAATCGTTAAAATCTATAAATTACAAATATAACATTTAAAAAAATATTTATTTAAATTT